GAGGTACGACAACCCAGGATGCGGAGCATACAGGACATATATGAGTCAACAAGTGAGGTACATTTTGTTTGTCTTCTTGCAGACTCTGAAAACATAAGTTTTGAAGAAGCCATCCGAGATAAGAAATGGCAAGATGCCATGGATGAGGAGATAGAAGCCATTGACCGAAATAACACATGGGAGTTAGCCGAGCTACCAAACGGAAGTCGGCCCATTGGAGTGAAGTGGGTGTTCAAGAAGAAGATGAATGCTAAAGGGGAGATAGAACGAAATAAAGCTCGGCTAGTTGCAAAAGGTTATAAGCAGAAGGCTGGAATTGACTATGACGAGGTGTTTGCCCCTGTTACAAGGATGGAGACAATTCGGCTACTCATCTCACAGGCTGCTCAATACAGGTGGCCAATACATCAAATGGATGTAAAGTCGGCATTTCTGAATGGTGTTCTTGAAGAAGAAGTCTATGTGGAACAACCGCCGGGCTACATGAAGGCAGGAGAAGAGAAGAAGGTGCTGAGATTGAAGAAAGCACTTTACGGGTTGAAGCAAGCACCACGGGCATGGAATGCTCGTATTGACAAATATTTCAAGGAGAATGGACTTGAACAATGTCCATATGAACACACTGTTTATGTTAAGAAAAATAGAGGAGACTTGTTAATTGTAGCTCTTTATGTTGACGATCTCATTTTTATGGGAAACAATGCCAAGATGATACAAGAGTTCAAGAGCACAATGACAAGAGAATTCGAAACGACAGATCTTGGTCTGATGAAATATTTTCTTGGTCTGGAAGTCAGACAAGACAACTCGGGTATCTTTGTCTCTCAAGAGGCATATGCAAAGGAGATTCTCAAAAGATTTAAGATGGCAGATTGCAAGCCGGTTTCAACTCCTATGGAACCCGGTTCAAAACTCTCAAAGTATGATGGTGGAGATCTAGTTGATGCAAGCAAATACAGAAGCTTGTGGGAAGCCTACGCTATCTCACATGCACGAGGCCGGATATCTCGTTGAGTGTCGGCGTAGTAAGTCGGTTCATGGAGGAGCCAAGATACACACATTGGAAGGCGGTAAAGAGAATTTTGAGGTATGTTCAAGGTACAATTTCACACGGGTTACACTACCCGAGTTCAGCAAAACACAAGTTGATTGGATACTCTGACAGTGATTGGTGTGGAGACGTAGATGATCGAAAGAGCACGGCTGGTTATGTGTTTTTCATGGGCAACACGGCATTCACTTGGATTTCGAAGAAGCAACCCATTGTAACCTTGTCTACCTGTGAAGCTGAATATGTAGCAGCATCTTGGTGTGTTTGTCATGCAGTATGGCTTAGGAATTTACTAAGCAAGTTGGAGGAAAAACAAGTCGGCCCAACCGAGATTCGAGTTGATAACAAGTCGGCTATAAAGTTAGCCAAGAACCCGGTGAATCATGAGAGAAGCAAGCATATTGACGTCCGATTTCACTTCATCCGGGATCAAGTAAAGGAAGGAAATGTGGAGTTAACACACGTGACCAGTCAAGAGCAAGTCGGGGACATTTTCACAAAGCCACTGCCGACGTTGCTGCTCAACAATTGCAAGAAGATGCTTGGGATGAAAGATGGAAGAAGCATTTAAGTTTATGGAGGAGTGTTATTAGATAAACTTAAATGTACGGTTTTTAGATTAATGGGTCTCTAGAAGTTTTATGTTTAGGAATTAATGTTGGTTAAGTGTTATGGGGGTTTGGTTTTGATATTTATTAAATGGCTGTAAGTTTTCTACGGTTTATGTTTTATTGCGTTTAATAGCTTTTAATAGGTGTTTAAGTTATTTTTAGCAAGCTACCATATAAGGAGATGTAATCGTCATAGAAAGAACAGAGCAAGAAAAGAGAGTTTGATAATAAAGAAAAACTTTCGTAGATTATTCGTTTGGTTGTCTCTTGCATCTGTGTGTTGATACCCTAACATTAAACTCCATCCTCTTGATTTCAAACTACTCATGTTGTAGACTTATTATAAAAACCCTAACCTAACCTAATAATCTTAATTCTTTCTAGGGTTAATAATAAATGTCCTTGTACACAAGTAGAACTTTCCTGGGTTTCTCGGGGATTATGGTGTTTAAGGTGGGGGTTTGATCCCCCCACACATTATTTCCCTAATCCCCCACCTAGACCCCAATAGGGGTTTCCTACCTTACAAAAACACAATTGTATTGCTTTTTCTATCTTCACTTTTGCTTTATTGGTGTGCAATGCTTGATATAAACTTGTACGCCTTTTGTCCATTAGCCCAAACTTTTGGTACAACTGGCATTCTAACATAACAGTATCTTATGCTTTCCCAAAGGAAGCTAAGAGAAAAATCGAGAACTGATTGGAAACAAAGAGAAAATTGAGAAAGAAAACCAATACTTTGTTATTGCATATTTCACATATCCAAAATACATTCTGCCATATCTATTTATGCACCTAATAGTATCTAAAGAGCATAAGAAAGTAACAACTGAAACAATGTAACTAACACCCAAAGCATAATAGACTAACAACCCCTTCAATTCCCTAATCACTATGCCTAACATTGCCTGCCCCTACAAAAGGGACCTTGTCCTCAAGGTCCATGAAATAGAGCAAATCTACCATCATCCATACCCATCAGGCGGAGGTAGAAGATCAATGGGCAATATTGCATTGTTACGTTTCACGGCTCAGATACTTTCGTTGGGACTAGAAGGGACAAAAATGTGGGGTTTCTGTTTTTGACCAAGAAGGCTAAAAATATTAGCAGCCATAAAAAACTATGAAAGGAAAAGGGTGCATACCCCAACCATGAAAAAATGTCAATGAGGAAATGGAAGCAGATGCACAGTGGCCTTGTAAGGCTTCTCGATAGTATCAAAAACCTTGGGGCAAGGGAGGGCCAAGAAACGGTTTGAGAGGTTCCCCATTGGATCCATGTCATGCTCGTCGCTAACACTCTCTTAGAACTTGGGCTCGTCCATACATGGCTCTCCTGAACATGAAGGGACTCTCTTGGTGTTACCTGTGGTGGTGATGGAGATCGAGGGGTCAAAGTAGGGTCAGAGAAAGATAGCTTCAAAGTGTAGCAATCTGGCGATTCCATGTCTGGCAACTGATTAGAAAGTGATAGATCGGGCAATTTCTTGACACCATTATCCATTGTAATAACCTGAGCCTGCACTTGGGTGACGAGCAAGGAGAACTTCTTTTGTATTGTATAAAAATGTTGATGCATTTTCAACCTAAATGAAGCAAGATTGACCTCTCGCAAAGCCAGAGCATCTACAAGCTTTTGTTCATCCATGGTGAAAATGTTGTTCGAACAATGAAAATGGAGATGCGGTGTTCGATTCGAACGAAAGCACCAATGTTATGCTTTCCCTAAGATAGTGATACGATCCTAGTCAGAAAAAGAGTATTCTGTTAGAAAGTGCAACACATGCAAGGAGTGGAATTGATCCAGCATAGCTAACGTGGCTGACGTGGATAACAGAATTGGAGAGATTTGTGAGGAGGGTCTGGTTAGTTAAATAGGAGAGTGTGCATTGTTGTAGGGAGGCTAGAATCTGAGTTTGGAATGGGCCCTTATTTGGGATTTGGGAGATAGTGGGACCTCTAAAATTGTCTCACAATATCCATAGTATCTTTACATTGTTATTCCGAGTTCTGGTGTTAATGGTATTAGCTTTAATTTCTGCAAAAGAGTCTCTGTAATTTGTATTGGTCAGTGTTTGTATTTGCTTTTACTCAATATATAAAAAGGGTACTGAAGTTATTCATGTCAACAAACATCTATTCTTGCTTTTGTTTCCAAATTTGAGTTGAAGTACGTATCAAATGGTATCAAAGCTCCGATCTAGGAGCTCTGTGGGCATGGTAGCGACAACAAGCATAGAAATCAAAATGAAGGTTGTGGAAGAAAGGCTGCGCAGGAACAATGATGGTCAAGATGAGGTGACTCGAAGGCTGGACGCTAAGGAAGCTCGACACAAAGAAGTTCTATTAAGGATGGACGCTAACAAAAAGAGAGTAGAAAAAATCATCCGACGATTAGATGAAATGGCCAGAAGGAGATGGAGTCGTTACAGAAATGGAGAGAACAACCTCGAGGATGACGAACCAGACCCACGCGAGGAAAGAGATCGAAGAAGGGACATGAGGCTTAACTTGAATGCTTCGGTGACCAGACAATTCCAGTCGGAGGGATTGGACAACCCTTACCGGACATTCTACACACTCAAACAGAGAGGAAGCATGGTGGAGTTTCGTGAGAAATTTGAGAAGAGGGTGGGTGACTTGCTATTAGAAGATGAAGACTTACTCATGGAAGCATGGCTGACCGATGTACGCGACAGTATAAGGGAAGAGCTGTTGAGGTTTCTGGTGCTCAGCTTGACGAAGATGAAGAAATTCTCCTTGAAGATCGAAAGACAGAACGCAGCGAGGAAGGATGAAGGTGTAGAATATGTAGAATATTCTAGATAGTATTTATTGATGTAGTTGGTAGTTGTATATTTAGTTGGTAGTTGTATATTTATTGATGTAGTTGGAGTTTGCATAATTATTAAAGTAGTTGAGGTAGTTGGATGTACTCAATATAAAAAGGACCCATTGGGTCTCTCAATGAATCAAGAAAGTATTATTCAGATAAAAGACTTCTTCCTTCCACTTCTTCTTTTCTTCATGGTATCAAAGCCAGGTTATATTCCAGTCTCTTCCCCGTTCTGATTTATTTTTAAGTCATTTTCCTATTCTTTTTTTTTTCGTTTTAGCCACTAGCCAAGCCAGAATCCTTACCTAGACACCTCCAACCACGAAACCAAGGCCACCATTAGGTTCAGAACAAAATTCTGAGCCAGCCCACAGAAGACCCGTGGCAGTACTATTCATCACTGTAGCAATTACTGTTTCACTGTGGCCAACCCTCTTCTTGTTTTAAGGGTCAAAATCGTATTTGGAGGAACTTTTTTCTGGGTACCTGTTAGAAAGCCATGGATGCTGGAAATTCTGAAATTTCGTCTGGAACCTCACCCCTTCCCAACTCTTCGTCTTCTGGAGACAACCCAGCAATGCAGATCACCAGTCACCGTTTAAACGGTAGGAACTATGTGCAATGGTGTCAATCTGTTAAGTTGTTTATCCAGGCTAAAGGGAAGATGGGGTATCTCGACGGAAAAAAGGTAAAACCAGCAGAACGTGAACCTGGTTATGATGCTTGGGTGACTGAAAATGCTTTAGTCATGACATGGCTGACTAATTCTATGGAACCAGATATCAGTCAAACTTATTTATTTCTTGATACAGCTCACGAGATTTGGGAAGCTGTTAAAGAATATTACTCTGACCTGGGCAATGCATCTCAGGCTTTTGATCTCAACACCAAGGTGAAAGAATTACGCCAAGGAGGGATGACTATTACTGAATACTTCCTTGCTCTAAAAATACTATGGCAAGAGTTAGATCTTTATGATATAGCAGACCTTCAACGTTTAGAAGCTAATGCAAGGTTCAAAAATTATATAGAGAAAAGGCGTCTCTATGATTTTCTTCGTGGAAGAATTTTGGGACAAAACCCATTACCTTCCCTTGTTACTGCTTTTTCTGAAGTACGAAGGGAGGAGCTTCGCCGAAAGGTAATGTTGGGTGATCAGGACTCTAAGTCCTCTGATGGGTCTGCCCTTATAGCAAAGAATACTGTTCGTCTTTCTGGGGACTCAAAACGTTCTGACCGTTGGTGTTCTCATTGCAATAAGGGTGGTCACACCCGTGAAAAATGTTGGGAAATTCATAGAAAACCACCAAACTGGAAACCAAAAGGACAGAACAAGAATCGTGCTAATCAAGTATCTTCTGAAGATAAAGGGGAGGTGTCTCATGTCCCTTCAAACCTTGATGGTGTTTTCCTCTCCAAGGCCCAGTATGAGCAATTTCAGAAACTGATATCTCAACCTGCCGAGGCAACTAGTCATGTTGCTTAAAAAGGTATAGCATTCCATGTTGAACGTAGTAATCGTTGGATCCTTGATTCAGGGGCCTCTGATCACATGACAGGTAATGCAACCTTATTTTTCTCCTATACCCCTTACTATCACCCGTCACGAATAAGAACAGCTGATGGGAATTTCTCCACTATTGCGGGGAGGGGATCCATTAAACTTTCTGAGCATATTATTTTGAATTCACTCCTTCGTGTTCCCTCTCTTACCTGTAACCTCATCTCAATTAGCAAACTTACTGTTGAGTTGCATTGTGTTGCTAAGTTCTCTGCAAATGCTTGTACCTTTCAGGAACAGGACTCGGGGACGATGATTGGCAGTGCTAGAGAGGAAGAAGGGCTCTACTATTTTAAAGAGGATCCTTGTGAAAGGAGGATTTTTTTAAACCACTCTTTATGTTTATCAGATGATTGTAATGATGTTTTGTTATGGCATCGTAGGTTAGGACACCCAAATTTTTTCTATATTCAGAAGTTATTCCCGAACTTGTTCATCAATAAAAAGCCAAGTTCCCTTCTTTGTGATATTTGTCAGCTTGCAAAGCATTCTCGTGCCACTTATTCTCCTAAAAAATATCATGAATCTTCTCCCTTTACATTGATTCATAGTGATATTTGGGGACCTGCTCGTGAAAAAAATGTCTCGGGTGCTCGTTGGTTTATTACTTTCATTGATGATCATTCTAGGGTATGTTGGGTATACCTCTTGAAAGATAAGTCTGATGCGGCATCCACCTTTAAAAATTTTCATGCTATGATTCAAACTCAATTCCAGACCTCTATCAAAATTCTGCGAACAGACAATGGTACTGAATATTTTAATTCTGTTCTTGGAGATTACCTAAACCAGCATGGAATTATTCATCAAAGTTCTTGTCCTAATACCCCTCAACAAAATGGGGTGGCTGAAAGAAAAAATAGACATCTAATTGAAGTTGCTCGAGCTCTTTTATTCACGATGCATGTGCATATTCCTCCACATCACAGGTCCAAACTTGACCCTAAATCTGTTAGATGTGTCTTCATAGGATATTCCCCTAATCAAAAAGGTTATAAGTGTTACATACCTTCTCTCCGTAAGGTTTTTGTTTCCATGGATGTTACCTTTTATGAGACACAATCCTTTTTTTCCCCGACTTCTCTTCAGGGGGAGTCTATTGGTATTGGTATGGATGAAGATAAGCCTGGGAAACCAAATAATGTTGCTGTCTTATCTTGGCCTTTGGAAACAGGGGGAGTTATTGGGAAGGAAACAGGGGGAGCAACTATACCTGAATCTAATGATCCTCCTTGTGATCCTCCTGGTAAATGGAAAAAAATTTACAGCAGGCGCAAAACACATGAAGATACTCTAGACTGCCAGGATCCTGATTCGAGTCCTTGTTCCAGCAACCCACTTGAATGTACTAGTACAGCCAACATTGATATGCCTATTGCTCTTCGGAATGGTACTAGATCTTGCACTGCTCATCCTATTTCCCATTATATCTCATATGAAAAGTTGTCTCCAGGTTTTCGTGCTTTCAACACTATGTTAGATAGTACCAGGATACCCAAAAATATCCAAGAAACACTTGATGACCCAAAATGGAGGAATGCTGTATTAGAAGAAATGGATGCACTTACAAAAAATGGAACATGGGAGTTTGTGACATTACCTAAAGGAAAGAAAATTGTTGGTTGCAAGTGGGTGTTCACAATAAAATTCAATGCAGACAATAGCATCAATAGGTATAAGGCCAGATTAGTTGCTAAGGGATTTACTCAGACTCATGGGATAGATTATCAGGAGACATTTGCTCCTGTTGCCAAACTTAACACTATCCGCGTTCTGCTATCTCTTGCCTCCAACCTTGATTCGCCATTGCAACAGTTAGATGTTAAGAATGCCTTCTTGAATGGTGATCTACATGAGGAAGTTTACATGGATCCACCTCCTAGTTTTGAAAAAGGGGATGGTTTTGTGTGCAAGTTGCAGAAGTCTCTCTATGGACTTAAACAATCTCCCAGAGAATGGTTTGGGAAATTTACTCAAGCTGTTAAGGGAAGAGGGTTCACCCAAGCTCAGACTGATCACACCTTATTTTTTAAACACTCCGACAAAGGAAGAATTGCTATTCTGATCGTTTATGTTGATGACATAATTATCACTGGTAATGATAGCGAGGAGATAACCTCTTTAAAAAAATGTTTAGCTAACCAGTTTGAATTAAAAGATCTTAGATCTCTCAAATATTTCCTTGGCATGGAAATTGCTCAGAGTAAGGAAGGAGTTTCTTTAACTCAGAAAAAATACATTCTAGACCTGTTGCAAGAAACAGGTATGCTTGGGTGCAAGCCGGCAGAGACTCCAATTGAAGCTAATATCAAGATGGGTGTTGAGGACGGGGAAGATGTTGATAGGGAGCAGTACCAGAGACTAGTGGGGAAATTAATCTATTTGTCTCACACTCGTCCTGATATTGCTTTTGCTGTGAGCATGGTTAGCCAATTCATGCATTCTCCTAAGGAAAAACACCTTAGTGTTGTTTATAGAATTCTCAAATACCTCAAAAATACCCCTGGTCGAGGAATTTTCTTTAAAAAGGGGAAGAAAAGAATGATTGAAATCTATACAGATGCAGACTGGGCTAGCTCTGCAATGGACCGAAGATCTACTTCAGGATATTGCACTTATGTCTGGGGAAACCTTGTGACCTGGAGAAGTAAGAAACAAACTGTTGTTGCAAGAAGCAGTGCAGAAGCAGAATTTCGGGCTCTAGCCCATGGTATTTGTGAAGGAATTTGGTTACGAAGGCTTCTGGAGGAGTTGAAGATCTCATATTCCCTACCTATCAGATTATATTGTCATAATAAGGTTGCTGTCAGCATTGCTCAAAATCCTGTTCATCATGACAGAACAAAACATGTGGAAGTTGATCATCACTTTATCAAAGAGAAGTTAGAAGACAGTAGTGTATGCTTGACATATATACCTACCAAGGAACAGACGGCAGATATCCTCACCAAAGGATTACTTAAGCCGACCTTTGAGAATTTGATCAGCAAGTTGGGAATGATCAATATATATCTCCCAACTTGAGGGGGAGTGTAGAATATGTAGAATATTCTAGATAGTATTTATTGATGTAGTTGGTAGTTCTATATTTAGTTGGTAGTTGTATATTTATTGATGTAGTTGGAGGTTGCATATTTATTAAAGTAGTTGAGGTAGTTGGATGTACTCAATATAAAAAGGACCCATTGGGTCTCTCAATGAATCAAGAAAGTATTATTCAGATAAAAGATTTCTTCCACTTCTTCTTTTCTTCATATAGCATTAATATATGTGGTATAATTTATTATAAGTATTTATATGGACTTCAAACCCTCTATATCGCTATAGCGTTTTTGGGGTCGGCCGGTAGCGGCCGCTACCCGCTATTTAAAACTATGATTCACCTCTTGCTTTCTCATCAGTCACATTTCCTCTTCCGTGCTAAATAATGAAGTTCCACATAGTGTTACTTTTAGGAGCTCCTTCCTATCCTCCACCTCCCCATGTATTTGGATGTACCTGCTTTGTTCATGATATTACTCCAGGGAAAGACAAATTAACATCTAAAGCCTTCAAGTCGATTTTCCTTAGATATACTCGTTTTCAAAAAGGCTATCGTTGTTACTCTCCTAATCTCAAGCATTATATTGTTTCCGCTGATGTCACTTTTCTTGATCAACAACCTTTTCATTATATCTCGTCTCAGATAAAACAGGTTGATTAAGTTCTTCCTGTTCCTTTTCTTGGCTTGTCTTTACCAGCTGCAAGTGACTCTATCCCAGAGGAGCGCGACCCCTTACCTCCATTCTTGGGAACCGCCTTTTTCTCACCTATCAGCGTCGTCAGATTGCACCTCCTGTGGACTTGACCCTTGCTGACTCATTGCCTTCTCCTATCGACTCTTCCCCTCCGAATCCTCTATCAGAAATTATTCTCATTGCCTTTCCCAAAGGTATTTGTAGAAAATCAGAATTCGAATTCAAATATTTTTCCGTTTTTATTTATTAGGAATAATTAAGATTAATTAGGATTGATTGTTTTTTATTTCCTATTAGTTAGGATTAATTGTAATTAATTAGAATTAATTGTGATTAGGTTTAGTGAGTCATAGCTGAGTCATTCTTATGATTGTGATTAGGTTTGGTGAGTCATGCTTAGCTATTTTTTCTTGTATAAATACTCCTCATTCCTCATGTAATTATTCAAGATCGATATACTGAAAAACTTTTTCAATATGGTATCAGAGCAGGTTGGTCCTGAGAAAACTCAGCCACCACAACCACCGTCAAACCGGCGGCACAACGTCGGAAAACTCAACCTCCAACCATTATTAAGGTTATTTTCCCTTCCTACAAAGTCCCAAGAGCAAAGTAAGGTTACCAATCACTGTAGAAGGCAAAATCCCAGCTTTCCACCGCCATCAGCCACCGTCAGCAGCCGTCGGAAAATTTTTCCGGCGACATTTCCGACCAAGATCCGCACCATTCGAAACAGAAGGAGCCGATCTACAACTTTCAAGAAGGACCATCGGATTCTGCTGAGCCACGCGCCCCCACGCGCTAGAGAAAGGATGGAGCGTCCGCCCTACGCATTACCACACGCAGCCATGTTGATTGAAAGTAAATTTCCATCCAGCAATGTTTCTCAACAAGGTATAGCGTTCCATGTTGATAATAGTAGTCGATGGATTCTTGATTCAAGGGCTTCAGATCATATGACAGGTAATGCAACCTTATTTTGTTCTTATACCCCTTACTATCAACAATCACGAATAAGAACAGCAGATGGCAGCTTCTCTACTATTGCTGGAAAAGGATCTATTAAACTTTCTGAACACATTACTTTGAACTCAGTCCTTCATGTTCCCTCTCTTACTTGTAACCTTATCTCTATCAGCAAACTTACGTCTGAGTTACATTGTGTTGCCAAGTTTTCTGTCAATGCTT